TCTTCGTTAGAGGAGCTGGCGGCGGCATGTATCGGAACTACTCTTCATCCCGTTCTCGGACACAGTCCGAGCCGACAGACCGTGACCCGTGTCGACGACACGCGACCCTTGAGGCGGGATAGCGCCGCGCCGTCGCGGCCGCGGCCGTGCCGGGCCCGGCCTTCAGACAGCAGACGCGACGGGCCCGACCATCCAGACTGCGGACGCGATGGGTCCGGTCTCCAGACCGCGGCCGCGGCCGTGCCGGGCCCGGCCCGGCCTCCAGACCGCGGATGCAACGAGTCCGGTCTCCAGACCGCGGCCGCGGCCGTGCCGGGCCCGCCCCCCGGACCGCAGCCGTGGCGGGCCCGGCCTCCGAACCGCGGCCGCGCCGGCGCGCAGCACGCTCCTGAGCTGAGGCGCCCCGGTGTAATGAGCCGAGTGGGACGCCCGCGTAATGGGCCAGCCCACACCGCCGCTCGGACGCTGCGCACGTGATTCATAGCGTGGTCCGGCGCCGGTGGCTGGGCGCCACGGGAACACTGTGAGAGCTAGCACAGGGCAGCGGTCACCGGTCACGGCTCGCCTTCTCTCCAGCGGGAGGCCGTGGACAACGGTGGTGCAGGAACGCGCGCCGTTCAGTTCGTAGGCCGGCTTGTATTTGTATGTTTCCGCCGTGGAGTTCTAGAGGTTGTATATCATGTTCTGAAGCGCTCCGAATTCCTCGTTTGAGACGAGTCATGAAAACGTAGTTATCTCGTACCTGGGGCACGATCTTTTTAAAACGTCCTTGCCGGTTTTAAAGTCTGAGCAATCTTTTTAAAATGTTTTGCTGGTTTGAAAGTCTAAGCAAAAGAGTACAAATTTGAAAACAGATCCGATTAGCTTTGAACTATTCGCACTAAGACAGCCTACGTTACGAGGGCCCAAAAAACCCTGGACATGCCTTCAAGCCGCATAAGTGACTGCGCAGGTCCTGTCGTCGGAGCTATCGTGGGCAGCGGTAAAACCGTTAGCCGATAATCTTTAGTATTCCGTTGTGCTATCCGGCACTGGGCCGTGGGACCAGTTCAGGGAATTATCTCATGCGCTCCGGCACTTCTCGATGTAAGTTCCGCGCTGGTGTCTGTGGAACTGGTCCCTACTGGAGCCTAAGTACGAGCAGGACATTCGAAGAAGTGGGGTTCAAAATCATATCAACTTTTAAAAAGGCTTCTTCCTTGTTGTTTCGTGAGTGAAAGAAACAAACTGCGATGTCGTGTTCAGTTAAGTACACCCGACTGAGCTAGTTACATTTTTAAAGTTCCCCATTCGTACCCTATTTACTTGAGTGTGTTATGTTCCTTCCACATGCTGCACGCTTAGATCATACGATTAATATGTGTTGCTGACTCTGGCCTAGCTTTGTACTATTACCTGAGCCTTGGTATTATCTGGCGATGTTTCAGGTTCAACGAACTGCAGCAAGTTGCAGTATTTTGTCACGTCGTATTATTCGGAAATTGAAAAAAGCGGTCGCATATTAGCACCCAAAAACGTGGTCAAGTCATTTGCTGGCGCGTCCGGAAGAACTCTTCAAATGTGCCAGCGTCTATTTCGACGTGAATATTCGATGAAAGTTACGAAAACCTGACAATCGGCACCAGTCGACCGAACCGATGGCGGTAATCGTCCGACGATGGCCCAAACAACACTAGCCGTGTCTAACATGCCTAACGAACATTACTCCCGAAGCCGTGCTGTCCACACGTCTGAAGCAGCATCACATTGACGCCACGTCGATTACCGAAGCCTGGTTTCGACGATTGACGCCAAACAAAATGGTAATGGTACCCAACCACGCATCTTCCACCGAGACAGAGTGGGAAATGTATTAGAGCAGGGCTGTAGTTTGCTATTTAGTTGGAGGAGGACTTTTGATAACGTTGAGAGGAAGTTGAGTCAAATCCGGAAGAAATACGTCTTGAGTGTATATAGGGCTGGTTTTCCCCACTCAGCCCCCCCCCCTCCCCCACTCCTATTTCGAGAAACCACGCCGTCCGGTGTATGCTTAACGGCCGTGATACTCGGCGGACTCGCTATCAGATTACTCCAGCGTCAGGTCTGAGACTGAGGGCCCATTTCCCAGTGGTGACATGACCGGAATCCGCGATTTATATTGGCCCTCAATCAATGAGGGCTCGTATGCCGGTCAGAAGATCCCACTGCCTAACAATCTAGGAACTCAGGTTCGGTCTAGGCCGTGCTCAGAGAGGGGGGGGGGGGCAGGGACCCGAAGGGCCCCTCGGGACCGACGAACACATGCCCGATTGCAGAGCACGAAGGGCTGTCTGCACGTTACATTGGAAAACCCGTCGCGCAGAGACGGGCCCTCAAATGTCAGTCAGGGGCCTCTTGCCTTGCAGCGATTGAGAACCCTCGGGACTCTGAAGGCCCCTTTGTCGGTCAGAGACCACCAACACCGCAAAGTCGACTCCGTGTCGTTCTGAGCACTGGGAGCCCATTTCACAAGCGGGGACAAGGCCGGTGCGCACGATTTGCATCGGTCAGGACCTCTGGAACAATGAGGGTTCATGCTTCGGCCAGGGACCAACAGTGCCTAACCGGAGGCGCTGTTTCAGCGGAAGGCCCCGAGTCCGTCAGGGAACATTTCCTGAACAGGACATGGGAATCTGAATGCCGGGGCTCTTTTGCGTTGGGCGAGACCCTCTGGCAATGCGAGGAGATAGAATAACTTATTATGAGAGTCCGCAATGAGACGATGGAAAGACCTTGTGTCAGCTAGGGCCCCAGTGCAGTCCAGAGTCACCTGCACTGGGCCCCGCGTATCGGGGTCCTCTATATATGTCTACGCTCACGGGGTCCTAATATCTCTGTAAAATCCATAAAATTGACTGTGTGGATCTGACAGTGACCAACGAAGCTTCCCTGAGCCTGTTGCCGACCTTGTGGATCTGACAGTGACCAATGAAGCTTCCCTGAGCCTGTTGCCGACCTGTGTAGACCTGGCAGTGACCATGAAGCTTCCTGAGTCTGTTGCCGACTTGACTGTGTGGATCTGACAGTGACCAGCGAAGCTTCCCTGAGCCTGTTTGCAGACCTGTGTAGACCTGACAGTGAACACTGAAGCTTCCCTGAGCCTGTTGCCGACCCTGACTGTGCGGACCTGACAGGGACGATCTGATACTGCAGTGTCTGACAGCGTCCACCTGACAGTGTGCGCGATCTCTCAGTGTCTGGTTCTCGGTGTGCGGTCTGACCGTGTCCAGCTGCGGGTGCGATCTCACAGTGCCTGGTTCTCGGTGTGCGGTCTGACCGCGTCTAGCTGGCAGTGTGGATCCTGCGGGCGCTTACCTCTGCGCCGGCTGCTGTGCGGCGGGCGCGCCGGCCGTGTCGCCTGCCACCATGCCGTACAACCCATGGCCGGCGCGTGGGCGTGGTACGGCTGCTTGTGCTGCAGCGGCCCCTCTGAGAGCGCAGGCCACCGTCCGTCAGAGATGCCGCACTCGCCGTGTGCGCCCACACGCCCACTCGCCGTTGTGGAATCACCGGAGCGCGTGTGCACGTCCCACAGTCGCATGTTCACCACCCACATAACGCACGCACGTCAATAGACGTACGCCGAGACATGTCGCACGCACGTCCGTAAAAGAGAAAATAGGATGGATACCACAGACACACAAATGCAGACGACAGTTTGTGACATTAAAAGGTACTGGCATTTCAGAACTAAATTACGCGACTCAGCCGAGCAATAGTGCCTTATCGGTTATAGGCTGCCTGGCGCAATTCCGTTGAGCATCGTCATAAAGGATAAGCGTCACGCCAAACGCTCCCTATGTGGAGGGTCTGTGTCCATCCAGTGTGACATCCCATCTTGGGAGTCCGATGTCACAGCATCACTCCATCTTCACGGTTTGATTCGAATCGGATATAAGGATACATTTACAAGCTGGGTGGGCTGTTGTAGTCGGCACCGGAGCGCCCACGCCCCGACAAGAAACCTGGATAAAGTTATCGGCATTCGTTCGTTAACGGTTGGTTTCTGCCTCCCAGGGGGGTGTCGGTGTTGGAGCAGTACGTCCGGGGTCGCCGGTGACAGCCC